CGGGGCCTGCCTGCCAGTGGCTGCTGTCCTGGGCAGCCAGGGTCTGGGCTGCTCCCTGGCCCCAGGGGCCGGCTCTGCCCGCGTAGCTGACCTGGATCAGCACATGGTGGTTTTAGAAGAGTCTTAACCTGGTCGGGGAACTGGCGCCCCGGTTCTCTCTGGGGGAGGCAGATAGAGCGCCCTCCCAAGACCCAGAGGGCCCTGTGCCCAGGCCCACCCCCGGCGCACCCGCTGGCCCACCTCGGTCGGCCTCCTCGGGTCCTACCCGTACTCACCCCTTCTCCCTCCCCAGCACCATGTACTGGTCAGATTGGGGGAACCACCCCAAGATCGAAACGGCCGCGATGGATGGGACCCTGCGGGAGACGCTGGTCCAAGACAACATCCAGTGGCCCACAGGTCTGTGGCGGCAGCGGACAGGGTGTGGCAGGGGCAGGTTCCCCAAAGTCACACAGAAGGGGGGGCAGAGCTCACGGATGGCAGGCGAGTTTGGAAGCTTTTCCAAAGAGCGATGGGAGTGGTTGTGGGAACAGGGTGGGCGGTCCCCACATGGAGACAGTTCCGCTTCTCCCCAGCCGGAGGCGGTAGCGCCTGGACCTCACCCGCTCTCTGTCTCCCCAGGCCTGGCCGTGGACTATCACAACGAGCGGCTCTACTGGGCGGATGCCAAGCTCTCGGTCATCGGCAGCATCCGGCTCAATGGCACTGACCCCATCGTGGCTGCTGACAGCAAGCGAGGTGCGTGTCCGACAGCAGCCGTGGCCACCCCGACCTCGGGCCTCCGTCCTCTCCTCCGAGCCCACGGCCTCCCCGTGCCTGCTGTCCTCCCCAGCCCGGCCCCCAACACCCCTGCGGGGCCTTCCCTGCACCAGCCCTGCAGGCCCAAGGCCCACTCCGACCCTCTGGCCCACTTGTCCCTTCATTCATTACATCGATGAGTATTGAGCCGCATGGAGGTGGCAGTAGGAACTTAGCAAATGGGAGAGGCAGCAGAAGTCGGTCCTGACCCCAGAAGTCTAGGGGTGACGGGCCTTGTGCGGAGGTCGCCCGGCGGGAAGGAGGGCTGGGCCTGTGGTCTGGGATATGTTGGATTTGAGGTGCCTGGGAACCATGAGGTCAGTGCCCTGGAGAGTGTGACCAGGGCCTGAGTCCCCTCCACGTCCTCTCCCCAGGCCTCAGTCACCCCTTCAGCATCGATGTCTTTGAGGATTACATCTATGGCGTCACCTACATCAATAACCGTGTCTTCAAGATCCATAAGTTTGGACACAGCCCCTTGATCAACCTGACGGGGGGCCTGAACCACGCCTCGGACGTGGTCCTGTACCACCAGCACAAGCAGCCGGAAGGTGGGCAGGAGGCCCAGGCTGGGGGGGAAGGCCGGGGGCATCGAGTCTCTGCCCAGGGCCTCGGTTCCCGGTGGGCAGGGCAGAGTTCTGGGTCCCCGGGGCTCAGCCTCCTCCTACCCGGCCCACACCCACAGTGACCAACCCCTGTGACCGCAAGAAGTGCGAGTGGCTCTGCCTGCTGAGCCCCAGCGGGCCCGTCTGCACCTGCCCCAACGGGAAGCGCCTGGACAACGGCACCTGTGTGGCTGTGCCCTCTCCAACGCCCCCGCCCGATGGTATGCTCGCCCCTCCCTGGCC